CAATGATTAGAGATGAGTAAATTGGATGGATGGACCGCATCGAGGATGACTTCATGCATCATGTCCAGAGATCATTGGCAGTTCTAGTTTACTTTCTTGAGTACTAAGGACACAAGATAATAGTCAAAACATTAACTCCTCTGAACTCATAAACATTTGCTACAATTTTAAATAATTTACTCGATAATATAGAAATTTATTCTTTTTATAGTATATAAGTTGAAAACATGGTGCTATTATTTTCTAGATGGTGCTATATAAGTTCATCTTATTATTTTCTAGATGGTGCTATAACATGGTGCTTTGCTTCTTCTGTGTCAAATATCTGGAACATTGCCTATCTGTTAATTTGAGATTTGATGTGTCGTACTTGCTATGGTTAATGCAAATGGACTTTATCTATCGTCACTATAGGTGTTTGAGCTTTTTTTTGTTGCTATAGAATCATATTTCTTGGATATTCTGACTGTTTACATGTGCAATTTATTTGTAGTTTCCCGGCATTATCATGTGAATTTGCATCAGTTGATGTGAGTGATGTACTTGGAACTGTAAGTTTCAATCTTTATCATTGACTATCATTTCTTCTATGGATGCCTTTTTTTATTATGTATTTTGCAACCCCTGTACATCTAGTAGATGCTTCTCTAGTTTATGAACTAATCATGGCACAATGTGCAGCATCATCATCATGCTTGAATGTGTTGGATCAGATGACAAATTTAATAATTCAACTTAGTATGTGATATTCGAAATAATAATATACATAATATAATAAATAAATTGAATATGATAAATAAATTATACAATAAATGTCAAATGTCTATGATGATCATGACCTTTTCTAGACAATCTTACAATTGAATCCATGACAGAACTTATATTATGTATCAATCTTAAAAATGTTTTTATCTGAAATGAAGTTCTATGCAGAGCAATGTTATTGTGCCAGCATATGATTAGACATAATTATACTTAGATCAGATCTGTCTAGACGTAGCTTGACCAGTTTCCTAAAAACTCTTGGTTGAACCTAATCAATTTAATATGATGATTAGTTATGTGTTATCCATAGCTATGGGTTCATGTAGTCAACCAGCAAAAGATCCATGTAGCCGACCTAAATAATTAGAAGTTTACGGCTTTGTTGTTGTTGTTTTAGCTATGGGTTATCCACAATAGGTTTTGGCATATTACAAGTTATGGGATAATGGATTGTGAGTTATGGAGTCGAGAATCTGGATCTGATCAAGATCCATAAGTTAGTGGACTCCAATTTGCAACTAAATGGATTCATGTCTGATCCTGCTCACATTTACAACTTCAAAAATTATAAACATTTTATTCTTTCATTTTTTCCTTTTTCATTCAGTATTACTCTCTTCCCATGCTTAGCTAACATGCCATTGCCATGGTCCCCCTTCACCCTAGTAATGACAACTATGGATCTTGGTTCATTATTTGCATGAGGAATTACAAGATGAGGAGTTGATCCCTAATGTAGATGATGGCTCTCAGTGATGATCACTAACAATGGTTACAGCCTTGCAGGTGATAATTGGTGACAGATGCATCTTGTCATCGAGTCTTCATTTCTCGACAACGATCACAACAATGATGTAATGTTGATGTGAATAATGTGTGTTGCCTATGAATAGGTCATTAAGGGATCGGGGCCATATTGGACTTGTAGCCCTCTAAAATCAGGTCCAATGGGCTCAACAATATGTAAGGGGCTATAGCAGTTTGAGACCATGAATCTATATCACTATGACAGTATTTGGAACTTAGCCAAAAGAGGTGATTCCACCCTTATTCATATCTTGACTTTAGAGATCCACCAACTAATTGACAGGCTTTGGAAGAGAAGGGTAAATGTTTACAGAACTCGTTCACTATATTTTTCTACACTAAAGTTGTGGTTATGGGCTTTTTTCTTTTTCTTGCTTTTGTTATAAAGCTAGCAGAACAATGTACATTATTATATTAAATGTTTCAATATGTATCTGTTATTTTTATCTGACATCTGACATGTTCTACTTTGATTTCCTCTAGTTACAAAGTGAGCTTCAATAGCTTTACCTGGGATATTTTTGTATTTCAATTTGGATTTAATTGCAATCCACATTCAACAATTTGCAGAACAGGTTAAATATTACAAAAACAGTTCGAAAGTTTTCGATAGATCTGAATCTAATTCCAACCGGATCCGAGTTTCACTCTGGACCGATTCCAAAAGTTAGTAAACATGGAGATGATTCTGAAGAAGAATACCTTGATGGTTCAGATTATTTGACTGCTGAGAATTTTGAGAAATATGCACATCGGTAAGTATTTAATCTTAAATTGATTAAATAATTATATATACCTGATATTATTTTGATTCATTTGTAGCATCAGTATCCTCTATACAATGGCTGCATGATACTTAAGTTATTCTTATTACTTACAGATACAGGAGGTGGGATTTGCAATTTTACCATTCTATTTTTGCTTTAAGCTCAGGAGTCACTTGATTCTGGAGTTATAATGGCTAGGACCAGAGGGAAACCTATATTGAATACTTTGAAGCCAGCCAGTGTGATCTTATCTGAAAACACTTGTTGTAGTTTTTCTAGGAAAGAGTAAAGCTCTTATTTGAGCAAACTTAACTGCACAAGGTTAACTCGTTTGCTTGTCGAAATTTTAAGTTGATTCAAACCTAATCACTTAAAGCAGCAATCTGACTCTGGATTAGAGAGTATGGATTTTTTTTACTGAACAATTCATGTATTTGTGTTTTATAAATTTCTAGACATAGAGTTGGTTGATTATTATTGACAGGATTACAGCTGAAATCCATCTGAGATGTACATTGTTTTTTTCCCCTCTATGATTGCCTATCCTGAGGACAGCCATTAGGTGTAAGACAGTTTGGCTGAAGCTTGAACATGGAGACCAATGAGATGAGGGCTGACATAATAGCTAGGTTCAAACATTCTCTTGATGACATAAAAAATCAGCTAAGAGGTTGAATATACAAGTCATTGCTTTTCTAGAGAAGAGTTATCAACACCCAAAACTTAGGATTTTAGAAAAAAGCTGGAAGTAGTTGGACCAGTTGGCTGGTGTTTACCTATTCAATTAGTTAAACGAATGTGGACTGAGCGATTCCGGTTGGTCCAATCTGGAACAAGGGTTATATCTAGGTAACTCTAATGAGTCAGTCTTCCTGTCTGCTTATAATAGTTAGATATGGGGATACTAGATGGTAAACCTACCACTTGGTATCCTTATTATTCTATTTTTTTTAGCTATCTTCCTTTTTTTTTCTAGAAAAATCTTTATTCCCATGTCCTCTCTTGCTCTTGCTCCCATTCTATTCCTCTCTGCTGCCTAGTCCCTACCGCTCCATTGCTGCCCTTTGATATTCTATCATGGTACATGATCATAGCCTCTTTTTTATGACACATTTGGTAGGAGCATGCCCATCTATTAGTTATTACCAATAGCAATTTCCTTATACACATTTGTTAATAATTTTTTTGCAGGTATTCGATCCTAGTTGTTAATTTCTTTGCATCATGGTGTTATTGGAGCAATCGCTTGGTAATGCTGCCTTGTCTAGCCTTGCACGAGATATATGATGTTAAATGTTAATGTTTTTTATGTTATATAGTGTGTTGGACATATATTTGATATAGTATTTATGAAAAGCTACTTCTACATCCATCAGATTATGTATTCTTGTCTGTTACAAAGCTTCATGCTATGTTGACACAAGTGGTCATTGTATAATATGGGGAGAATATAATAGTGAGAGAGAGAGGGAGGGAGCAAACAATAAAAAAGAAAAAAAACATAAAAACAATAGTTAACTTTTTTAAAATTTTTATAATCAGCCTTGAAGTCCAGACATTTTGAGAGTTTAGTAGAGATGATCCCACTACCATAGTGATGTAGTGTTGTTCAATTAGAGAGCAGTTGGACATATTCATGTAGCTTGAAGCTAGTTCACTCTTTTATGTTCTCTTATCCAGTGAACTTTGCCTTTTCTTTTTCTCGTTTTTCGTGTTGGAACCCCATTTCAACAGGTGTTATTTGCTGATGGCACCTACTGATTTGGATGTGAATTGACACATCCATGTTGTAGAATTTTGATCTTTGAGTTTTAGTTTTTTACTTGCCATATTCATGACAGATATAAGTAGATTGAACATGAAAACTCGAAGAGGCATCCATGAAATTATCAGTGCACTTGCTTTCTTGTTTTTGACAACAAATACATACTACTACTTTGGAAAAAACTAAAGAGATTATAATTAAAGAAGGTGCTACAATCTCCTTTGCTACTATTTCAAAAGTAAATAGCGAAATTACCTAAGCTCAAGTTCATAGTAATATACTCATCAGACCTTACAATTTACGTTTTAACCCACATCTGATATGGAATTAAATCAGGGTGTTACAAACTTGCAATTTTCTTTATTTAAGGGCTTGACATCATCGTTAAGGTCCAACATAACCCAGAATCAGACCTTAGCATGGTGCATGTGAGAATTAGCCCAGCGGTGGCTCCACTTTATGTCATGCCCTCCGGCCTCGTCCACGGATAACCCTTTTCTTCTCAAGCCTCTCAAAAAATGGTGTACCCATTACACGAGGCTCCCGCCAATGCGATGTTTAAGGAGGGGCAATGTACATAGCCTTACCTTTAAATATTTAAGAGGTTGTTTTCGTAACTTGAACCTTGGTCTCTCAGGTTGCACAGGAGCAACCAAAATGAAACTTGAACATGTGAACGAAAATGAAGAGACCTAGTTTTCTCGGAAAAAATTGTCATGTGGAAGTGAGTTCTATATTTACAGCTTGTCCTCTTACTGTGCTGTTGACTTGTGAATCATGTGTCATCAAAATGGAGCATGCTTATAGGAACACTTCCATAATTTAGTGACATTTCCTAGCTGATCAAATAAAAAGCTCTGGTTGATTAAGTTGTAGCAGTTATCATCCTTATTTATAAATAAGCTGAATCCAGTATATGAACATATCCTTAATATTTGTGTTTCATGTACTGCCCCCAAAACTTTTAGTAATTGGGTCCCACATGAGTTACTCATTTTCCTGATGGTGCAATGTTTGAGAGTTACATTTTTAACTTTTTCTGACTAGCCATTATTTATGATGACATGTTTCTTTAATGAATGCTTTGAAAGGGTTGTATTCATTTTCAATCTTTGTATGTTTCATCATTTGTTTTAGAAACCATCATGGGAGAGAGCAGCTAAAATAATAAAGGAGAGGTATTGTTTTCAGCTATATCCTATTCCATTTTGCTTATTCTTTTGTTCTATTCTTGAGAGTTATTCTTTTTTCCCATTGAATATTTGTATCTTCAGATATGATCCCGAAATCGATGGACGGATTTTGTTGGGAAAAGTTGATTGCACTCGAGAAGGAGAACTATGCAGAAGGTACTTTCCATGGTAGCAACTTCTCTTTTTTAAACTTTATCATGTTAATTAAATTTAGTTATAAGTTTTAAATGCAGTAAGCTTTTGTATTATGCTGCTAACCACTTGAGGTAGTAGAAATTTTCCAGTTATATTATTTATTTTTGGAAAGTTTAGAACCTTTGGTTGATGAGTCTGTTTCATAGCTTTTGTAACTATGATATTAGGAAACTGCAGCAGCTTTTTGGTTAATAGCTCTTACAATAAATAGAAATAACCAGATGGTTTCATTATAATCGAAGAGCTAATAAGTTTATGGTTATTTTAAGCAGGGTTTGCAGTCTCGGGTACTCTGCCAGTCCATTCTGGTGTACCATGTGTTGGTATGCTAGAACGTACCATGAACCATTGGGGAAGGGAGAGGGGGGGGAGTGGAGGAAGAAGGAAGTGAAAATAGAAGGAAGAAGAGGAGGAGGAAGAAGAAAGAATGAAAGAAAAGGAGAAAGTGAAGGAGGTGGCCTACCAGAGTGTGGGCAGCAAGTGGTGGCCATGCGGGGGCCTCCTCATGAGTCATGGCCCTGTCCTAACTCCTAATTAGAAGACAAAAAAATAAAGAATTAGACTCGACCACCCAGTTTGGGCTGGTCCATGTACAAGTACATGGTCGTGCCCGTAAATACCAGCCAAACCATATTAACCTAGCTATTTTGGCAAACCTTGATTTTTAGAATATTATTTCTTGACCTTTAGAATAGTCTAGCCAAAGCTACACCACTGCATTTAGGATTGGCTTTGTGCTATCTCAGAATTACCAAAAGACCTTGAGGATTTAGGAGGGTTGAATCATAAGGTGTATCAGAACTTGAACAAGATGTAAACATTCTACATGACATTCAATACTGTTTTCTCTTAACCATTTAATTTCTTTTGGAACCTTATTAGAACTTACTTCGAGGTCGACTATAAGCTAACTTTGTTTACTTTATGGTTTATTGTGCCTCAACTAAGCACATTTAATAAAGGAAGAAATCATTAGAAACAGGGAGAAGAATGCAGACAAATGAATCCCGATGGATGATAAGAATCAGAATCATGATCAGAAGAACTATATTCTTAATTTGACTTTGTTTTTTTTGTAGTACATTCTTTACTGTGGAAAACTGAATCATGAAATATGTATCACTTGTACTGATGATAATTAGAAACTTAGTTGCTTATACTCACAGAACTTCGCCTTATGATTTTTAAATATTCCAGTACTTCTCATGCTTTGATTCTTGATGTCATGTATGTTGTCTTTGATCTTTGAAGGTATTTTCAGGTATATTAATTTGGCACAATAAAAAAACTTTGCAGGCATCATATTCAAGGCTACCCATCTATTCGGATTTTCAGGAAAGGAAGTGATGTAAAGTAAGCGCAAGTCTTTACAAACTGTTCTACATTTATGATGACAGATATGCTAAATTAACTTCTTTATATATAAGCTGCAGTTTGTAAAATAATGTGGTTTATCATGGTATTTAAGTGACTTATTTACAAAAGCTTGCTAATTATAGTTTCTTAGTATTTAGCTTTGAAGTAATGAATGCCCCAATGTGGATAGATTGTCATTGTCCAACTCCAAAGTCCTTTTATTTACATATTCATACAATGGTAGCACCTAAAAGCATTTAAAGTTCTATACAGTGTAAGTGTTGAATTAAATTCTACTTATCTTGCATAATTACTTGTAGGATTTAGTTTTTATTTGTTTTATTGTGGTAACATACGCCATAGGATTTCTTGTTACTTATTAATCCAATTGGGCAAAATTTTCTAGTATTACAATTTTCATGGACATACAACACCAAGTACCCGAGTGTACTATTTGGTTAGGAGATGAGTTAGATATAGAGGGACGAGTAAGAAAGAGAAAAGTGTTTCCACAACCAATGATTTAAATAGGTGCTCGGGTGCTTGCTTAGGCGCTTGGGCGAGGTGAGGCGAGGCCCGAGTGCCTCGTGTGTGGACCAGGCGGTGCGCTTTAATGAGGTATTTCCTGTGCACTTGCCCGAACCCAGGCGCTAGGCACTTCGGGTGAGTGCCAAGTTCAAATAAGCAAATCGAACCAGACTTACGTAGTTTCTTGCTCTCAAAAGCCACCCTTCACACCCGCGCGACCCCGAGCTAACCCTAGCGTTGCTTCTGCCATCAACGTTTTTTGTTGTCGCCTCCGCCGCAGACGCAGTTGACCGAGCCTTCCTCTGTCGTCGACGGACGAGTCCGACGACCTAGCAAGAGCCCATAGCTTCCTTCCGCAGTCACTCCTTGTGCAATTCCTTCCATTATTGAGGGAGAGGACCACAGGTTCCTCCGCCACCGATGGATGCCCTCTCGAGCTTCCACCACTATCGTCATTGTTGTCCGTAGCTTTTGCTGCTGTCGCTGCTATCGTTCGCAGCGCTGCCGTAGCTGTCTTAAACTAATCCTTCGTTGCTATTGCTACTAGCTTCTTACTGTTGCCTTATCACCATTGTTGTTATCACTTTCTGTCGGTTTTTATTGTCAATGACCCTTTTATCCCCCTCTATTACTGTTAACAGTTCTGGTCTCCCCCTCAAACTACTATTAACAGTAAGTAATATATTATTGACAATATATTTTTAATTTAATATCATATTTTTTATTTAAATAATTATATATTTTAATTATTTTATATATTTTATATATTTTAATATTTAAGGATGCCTCGTTTCGCTCGGGTGAGCGCCTAAAGCCTCGGGCATTTTGGGACCTTGGCACCTTTTGACGTCTAGCCCTTTTTAAATCACTATTCACAATATTTTTACCTGGCCAATCCTATTCCACTTAATCCCTTTTTCATGATCATATATCTTTATGGCTAAGGAATGGAAGATGTTTCTCTCGTTACGTGAATTAAATGTTTTATTTTATACAGGAAAATTCACCCCTTTGATACATATGATATAATGTTGTGAAAATGTGATATATAAGAAGTTGAGTTCCTAGAAGACTTGAAATATTAAATATGTTCACTTGTTGTATTGTTGTATAATTTATTGTTGGTGATGAGGGTGATAATTACGATAAGACTTGCGTGACACCCGCTGACGTCCCGCGTCCCTACTGGGCTGACAGCGCGTGGCTGACACGGGTCGTAGTGCCAACCGAGGCCCATTAACGACCGCTCAGGCTCGACTCCGCACGCCACGCCAATAGCGATGTCAGACGTCATCAGAAGGTACGATCCTACCCCCTGCGAGCAGGCCCATCAGGTAACACCGAACTCCCCTATAAATACCCTTGCATTCTAAACGGAAAAGGGGGGAGAAAAACAAACGACTCCCACGATCATCGACTAACTTAATCATCAGAGGGGTCGGGATGCTCGACCCGACCTGCGTGCAGGGACGAAGGCGAGGCGCCTCTCTCCGGGCGCGTTGGCAAGGAGCCCCTTCCTGAAGGAAACGACAACCCGTCATCCGGACCCGAACCAAGCCGCGTCGGCCCCGAGGCCACGGCTAAAAAGTTGTTTACTCCAACATTATGGAGCTAGAAGGAGGGCCGATGTCGAGGGATCGCCAGGCCGACTCAGCCGAACCCGTAGTCGAGGGGGCGCATCCGGTTGGGGCTCCAAGGGAACATTCCCCGCGGACGGGTCTCCGTAGCGAACACCTCGCCACAACTTCAGAGCGCTATTGGCGGATCTTCAACGACCATGGTTTGTTGCCGCCCGACGCCCCCTCCGCCGAACCATCGCCCGTCTCGCCCGAGGCCTTTCTCGACCTCACCCATAAGGTCCAAGTTCTAACCGGTATGGTAGAGTCCATCATTCCACTTGTCTCCGGAACGCTGTACCCGCCGGCCGCCGAACCGGTGCGACAGCAGGAGCCGCCTGCTCAGGCTCAGGCGCGGCCCCTGGAGCTTCCCACTTCGCCTCGGGTCCCGTCGTCCCTACTTAGGGATCGAGTGACGGAGGACCGGAGAGGCCACGCCCAACCCGAGGTCTTTCCTTCGGCCTCGACAGACTCCCTGCGAGCCCAATTGCTCCTCGTCAGTCAACGGCTTGACGAGGTACAGAAGGAGGTCCGTAGGTCAAGAGGAGAGCTCGGGGAGGATGTACATCAGGGATCCCCATTCGTCCCCGAAATACGGGATCAGACAGTCCCACAGAACTTTCGTCTCCCCTCTCTGGACACATACGACGGCTCCACCGACCCAGCAGACCATGTAGTCGCCTTCCGCACCCAAATGACACTATATGGAACTTCAGACGCTCTGATGTGCAGGGCGTTCCCCACAACACTAAGGGGACCAGCCCGCACGTGGTACGACGGCCTGAGGACCGGGACAGTCGCCTCATTCGACCAGCTCGCTAGAGACTTCGAGCTCGACTTCTTATCCAGCGCACGACCGAAACCGTTCGTTGCCTTGCTTCTCGGACTACACCAGAGGGAGGACGAGTCCCTCTCCCACTTTGTGAACCGTTTTGCCACGCAGATCCGGGGATTATCCGACGCTCACCCCTCTCTGTTGATGCAGGCGTTCATGACGGGACTGCGACCTTCCCGATTCTTCTGGTCTCTCGTTGAGAGACCCCCCTCCGCGGTACCTGAGATGCTTTAGTGGGCGAACCAGTTCGTCGCGGCTGAGGCTTGGATGGTCGGAAAGCAGGAAAAGCACACGAGGGTTAGACCGGAGCCGGCTCGCGGGCAGCAGCCTACCGCGACTAGGCGCAGGCTGGACCAATCCGACCTGCCCGCTCCGAGGCCTCCTCTGCCCCCCTAGGCGCATCTCGAACGAAGATATTTCTCCAGATAAAGGAGAGAGGGTTGCTCAGGGCTCCCGTTCCGATGAGAAACCCGCGAGAGCTCGCCGACCAATCCAAGCATTGCCGCTTTCACAGGCAAAACGGGCACGACACCGAAGACTGCCGCGAACTGAAACGACAGATCAAGGAGCTTGTCCGCGGGGGTCACCTCAGTTGGTACGTCCGACGTAACGAGGAGCCCTCGCCTCTCCCGGAGGGCGCCGTGGAGCGCCACATCGATGTCATCACCGGAGGACCGACGGCTGGGGGAACCAGTATGTCCGGGAGAAAGGCATACGCCCGTTCCGCCAGGATTGACGCTCCCCAATGTGGTCCCGACCCCAAGGTCGCATTCCCTCCCGAGGACGTCAAGCCACCGGAGCACGACGACACGCTTGTGATAATGGCTCGAATCGCTAACTCCCAAGTGAGGAGAATCATGATCGACACCGGGAGCTCAGCCGACGTGCTCTATCTGGATGCCTTCCAGAAGTTGGGGTTAACCAAAGAATCCCTGAAGCCCATCTGCTCGGTGCTCACGGGGTTCATCGGCGATTCGGTCTCACCATTGGGGACTGTTACCTTGCCCCTCACCTTGGGAGCGTCGCCCAGAACAAAGACGGTGATGTCCACCTTCTTGGTGGTAGATCTTTCTACTGCTTACAATGCCATCCTCGGTCGCCCCACCCTCAACAAAATCAGAGCTGTAGTCTCCACCTATCATTAAACGGTGAAGTTTCCTACCCTCGCCGGGACAGGGGAAGTTTGGGGAAGCCCCCGAGAGTCCAGACGATGCTACTTGACGGCGGTCTCGCTGCACAAAAGGGCGAGGACCGACCAACGTCTAGAAGACCCGAGAGAAGAGAAGCGGCCGACACCACACCCGGAGCCGATGGCGCCCACATGCGACGTGCCATTGATAGAGGATCGCCCGGATCAGACGGTCCAGGTCGGGTCGGAACTCCCCCGGCAAGAACGAGAGCAGCTCGTCGGTTTCTTACAGGAGAACGCCGATGTCTTCGCCTGGTCGCCATCCGACATGACCGGCGTTGACCCAGAGACCGCCCAGCATCACCTGAATGTATCACCTGACGCCCGGCCAGTAAAATAGAAACCACGACGCCAAGCCCCCGATAGGCAACTCGCCGTCCGCGAAGAGGTGGAGCGACTCTTAGCGGCTGGCTTCATCGAGGAAGTCAAGTACCCGCGATGGCTGTCTAATGTAGTGCTGGTAAAGAAATCTAATGGGAACTGGAGGATGTGCGTTGACTATACGAGTCTCAATCGGGCATGCTCGAAAGACTGCTATCCCCTCCCAAGAATCGATCAGTTGGTCGACGCAACTGCCGGGCACGCCCGCCTGTCGTTCATGGATGACTTCTCCGGCTACAACCAGATCAGAATGGCGCCCGAGGACCAAGAACACACGGCTTTCATCACCGATCTGGGGGTGTATTTCTACAAAGTCATGCCGTTTGGGCTCAAAAACGCAGGCGCCACCTACCAGAGGGCCGTGAACAAGATGTTCGCCGCTCAAATCGGGCGGAACGTCGAAGTCTATGTCGACGACATGATCGTGAAAAGTTGCATGGCGGTAGAC